CAGCGTCTACAGTTGTGATGATACTTTCTTGTATTTTCCTGTTCAGAAATCAATGACATGCAGAGGGAAAGCTTTCTTCTGTGTGTTTTCTTTCATAGGGTAAGTTCAAAAAGAATTCTTAAACCAAGATAAGATGGCAAGCTGTGAGCTTTTCTGGAATGAGCAAGATAATTGGTCACAGGTGAAAAGAAGCAAGATCAATCTACCCATGAAGATTTCGCAGTTATTTCTACTTTGTAATCATAAAGTATGCCCTTTTGAGCTCTTACTAGTTTGAGGAAAACGCAATTGGCATGACAAATTTGTAATAAATAGAAGTCATCAGCTTTTCCCAGTGGCCTGCCATGATCATACAGTGGTTAGTATTCTGCATTGTGGCTGCCACATCTGTGGGAATCTGAATATGGCAGTCTGAAATCTACTGCTTTGTTTTTTTTTTCAATCCCAGAAACTGATTCTAAGGCTTTAATGGGGAGCTAGGTTTTGTGTTATTTAGATGTAGAAAGAAAACCTTCTTTGACTCCTTTCTAGGCACTGATTATCAAACCAGACAAGAATGATAAAGCATAGATTTTTACAATCCATTATCCTTCAGCTTCCCTTTTCTCTCTATCTCCACTCAAGGCAGTATCCACAGTTACATTTAAAAATGAGGAGCTATCCAGACGCCTTGCTCAAAGGTATTGGCAAAGTCTCAGAAGAATAAAACAACAGGTTTTGAAGCTGAATTAACAATGATTTTGTTTTCTGAGAGTGTGCATAGGATTGAATTCCAGGAGTAAAGCTGGAAGACAGGCCAGGTTTTTACGAAGGGCTTTGAATGTCAGGATAAAATGTTTAAGCACTATAAGCAAAGTTTGCTGGTAAATGAATTTAGGACAGACTGTAACTGAATTTGCATTTCAGTATCATTCCATTAGGGCACAGAGTTGAGAGTTGAGTGCAAAGATCATGAGGAAGGTCAGAGCATTACCACAATGGTCTAGGCAGAGAAAGTATACATCTTTAACAGGGCAGGGCAATGGAGTGAGACACCTTCATTCATTCAACGAATCTTTATGTGGGGGCATATGGTATGCCCCTAGGCTCTGGGGACGCTGAGTGCCAGTCTGAGGATTCAGCCATTGAACGGTTGCTAGATGACATTGACCCATGAGTCACAAGTATGAGGCTCTTTCATAATTTAATCTCATGTGGAATTATATGGGGAGATTCCAAGGAACCACTGTTTCTCTACATGGAGAAATAGCATTCTGTAAAACAGTATATGGTACACAGGAAGAGAAATTAAGTCTAAGTTTTGAAGTTGAATGTGACAACCTCATCTGTTGATTGACTGGGGGAATTGGTAGAACTTTCCTTTCTTAATCTGAAGATCCTGGTGTGGGGGTTTAAAGCAAGTTCATTTTTCTGTGCATAAAATGTCAATTCACTTATCTGATTAACAAGAATATGAATCCAATCAACACAGATGTTAAGCAAACATATGCAGTCCCTCATTTAGGATGGTTCAACTTAAAATTTTTCAATGTTACAATGGTGCAAATGTGATATGCATACAGTGGAAACCCTACATCAAATTTTACATTTTAATGTTTTCTTGGACTAGTGATATGTGGTATGATCCTCTCTTTTGATGCTGGGTAGCGGCAGTAAGTCACAGCTTCCAGTCAGCCATGTGATCATAAAGGTAAAAAACTGATAGGCTACAGTGTAATGTGTTGCCAGATGATTTTGCCCAAATGTAGGCCAAAGTGCTCTGGCCACACTTAAAGTAGGCTAGGCTAAGCTATGATGTTTCCCTAGGTGTATTAAATGCATTTTCAATGTATGATGCATTTATTGGAATGTAACCTCTCTGTAAGTTATGGAGCATCTGTACTTCCACAATTCCTTTTATAAAAGCAGGTTGGATCTGCAACCAGAAGTTGGTGCACATTTCAGGAGAATCAGAGTATTTCCCTTTTGGAAAAATCGGTAGAGTTAAAAGTTGGAACTGGGAGAGAATCCAGGAGCAGAGAGGCTGAATGTGTGCTTCTTTGCCTTTGCACCTTTGCAACTTTGCTCAACCTGATAGGTTGGGAAAAGGAGGAAATTTTATCTTCAGTCAGCCTCTGAGGATCATCAAAGTACTATGGAGATAAAGCAGGAAGAAGGTCTAGAGACAGACGAGGATATGGGGGTAGCAGGGTACGTTGCATTGTAACAAGGGTCATCACACTAAGCAGGTGACATCTGAAGTTTCCTACTGTAGAGTTTCATAGAGACCAAAATTTCAGGCTAGATACAAAGAGGAGAAGATAAACTTTTGTCTTAGTAATGAACCTGAGTAGGGGAAAAGTAACTCTGAAGTACGTATTATTATTGACCATTCAGGGAAACGCCTTAGAGATCTGATCAAAGCTGTTAGTATTCTTGTAGTTCAGTTTGTTACCATGGGCTGTCTTCAGCGCCTAGGGAGTAATATTACCTTGTTAGAAATCCCAAGACAAAGTGAAGCGTAACTATAACAGGCGATCTTGTACCAATGATTTTGCAAGCAGGAAGAGAATGCGAAAGCAAATTCATAAATACTTTTCTCCTGCGCGCACCCACAGTGCTACTGAAAGTGGTTGTCAGTGACGGGGCAACCTGGGCAGTGGTATTAGTGGCGTCTGTCTTTTCACCCCTGAAGCGTATCTCACCTTCTAAACGTTTAGAAAGAATACTTGAGCTCTATTAACCTACAAGGTCACGACAGAGCCAGGAGATAAGGCCCTGTTCAGAGAATCCGGGTCGCCCTCCCTGTCTCCAACTCCTTTTCCGTTTTCTGTCGCCGGAGTTATTTCAGCCGCCTCCCGCACGCTTTCAGCGTTGCCCTCATTCGAACAGGATAGAAAAACCCGACCATTCACTGCCTGGAATTTGTCTCCTGCTTCTCTTCCGCGAACTGACCGGCCCACTGGTGCGTCTGCGTCCGTCGCGAGGCGTCGGTCCTTCCCCGACGGCGAGCGCCGGGCGGCGGCAGGGACTCGCCACCCGCAGCTCTGGAGTCGGGCCGTGAGCGCCTGCGCGGCGCTGGGTCGCTGTCCAGCAGATGTCTGCGCGGGAGACCCAGCTTGTGTGGCTACCTGCTCCCGGCTGATCCCAACCCGGTCCCCCAGCCACTCGATAGAAACACAATTCACATCGTCCCCGTTCCTGAGTGAAGATCTCGTCCCCCACGACCTGCTTCGCCTCGCTCGTGATGATTTCTTACACTTGACTGGGGATCCCGGTGCGTTCGGCCCTCCCTCCTTAAGCTTCTGTCCTCTATCCGTTATGAAATTGTGTAACTTGTTTTGGTGTGAACTGATATAGCTGAACTTCGGAAGAAATTAGGCAGGATTCCCCGAAAATGTGTGTGTGTGTGTGTGTGTGTGTGTAAAAAATATATATATAACATATATATTATATTATACATGTAATATATATTTTTAATATATATTACTGCTCTTTGCGGAGCAGGCCAACCAGGTAGTGTGCCCAGAATAATCAAAATTTTTGTTGATTCTCAGGAGGGAGCATTAAAATGAAGAGCCAAAAGTTCTAAAACGGGGGGCTTTTCACTCGAAATGGGCTGATGCAGAAGATACTATTAGTCAATTTGTACCAGATTCTTGTTTTATTCTGTTGTAAATCTTTTCCAGCCTTCTTCACCTTCCCCCACGCAATCTTTCTCAGGTGTGTGAGGATCCAAAAAGAGTAATAATGTAAGTTTTATGAAGACCTCCTCATAAAGTTTTCAGAAATATCGTTTTCTGTTTACTTTTTGATATGTGGATCAGAAATAACACCCCATCTTTCCAGAACACAAGGAGGGGGCAACTTCAAGCTAGCAGTTGAATTGGGAATCTTCTGATACATGATGCATTGCATCATTGGCCCTGCTTAATTAAGTCAACATAGTTTTTCAAAAAAATCGTATTGTGTTAAATTTTATTTGTAAAACTTTCTACCAAATAAAGATATGCAGATTAAATAAAATTTCTAAATGTGGTTGATAGCACTTGGCCTCCCTCCCATTTGTCCACTGTCAGCTTTCCAGCTGAAAAAATGTAAAGATTCACGGTCTACTTGAAGCATCGTTAGTTCATTTCCTGCCAGCCTCAGGTCCTTGACCTCAGTGGTGAGGAACCTGAAAGCAGCAGATGATGGAGATTTTAGGATTTTGTTGTTGGAAAAGGAAACCAGGTGTCAGGGACCAGTATAAACAAATGAAATAACAGAAACACTGGTAAACACAATCAGGCTACTAATTCTTGAGAGTGGTGTTCCTTTCTGTACTTCTAGTGTGCAAAGTATGCATCTCAATTGTGACTTTTATTACAATTGTAAACAGGTGTTTCCTCAACTGTCTTCCCTACTCCATTGTAATATTCCTTGAGGGCAGCACATTCGGGGTCTACAAAAAGTAATTTTACATTAAAAGTCTGCACACATGCATGAAGGGTTGAGTGAGAAAAATGATTGCAAGCATCAGGAAAAAGGTTTAACTCTTAAAACAGGTAGGCTCACAGGTGTATGATCCTGTACTATTCCAACCAACACGTTTAAATGAAAAAACAGTGGACTGCTATATACAAAAGTGGTTTTCTGGATTTCTTGGATATAATAACTTTGAGGCTCACAGTGGCTCTTATATCCTTAAGGTAGGAGAGAGTTGGCACTGGGCATGTGTCAATTAAACCTAAAGCCACTGACAGACCATAGGGCTAGGTCGGAGCCAGTGGCTGAGAAGTTGGCCTCCTAAGTGAAGAGAATGTCTAATTTATTGACAGGAAAGTAAAAGCTTAGTGAACCAAGTGCATGCCAGACAGACATTTTTCATACCGTTTATATGGCTGGTTTGAGTTAATGCTAGTGATTAGGATTTAGAACACAATACCCACCAAACTTGTTAATGAAATATTTAGCACAAAGATCTCTACATTACTAGAAAAAAACTCGGGAAACTCTCAGCAACAGCTCTACAACATTAAAACCACTCAACTGGCTTAAACAAAGTAGATTTATTACCACACCTAGTAAGTCCAGAGAGTAGAGAGGTTCCATCATGCCATCAAGACCCATGATAAATCTTTAAATATTTTGAGTTTTTTGAACTTTGCACTCTGTCACTCTCAACATATGGGTCTCATGTTTTGGCTGGTCCCCCTGCAGTGCCTCAAACTCTCACAGTCTCATGATAAATTTCAGAAAAACAAACAAATTGACCTCTTCCTTGTATCTCTTGTTGAGGAAAACTTGTCCTATATGATCTCCAGTAGATTTTCTCTCACATTGTGAAAAGATCCCAGTCATGAAACTCCCAGAAGGCAGAGAATTTTATAAAAACTCAGGCTTTATAGGTGAAGAAAAAGCTTTGTCACTATTAGAAACTCCTGCCAGGGACCACAAATAACAGTGGGGGTGGGATGGGCCTAGGGAGTCTACAAGGTGAGGAGAAAGTTTTTCATTATCAGTCTCCAAGAGCCAAAGATGCATTCATCTTCTCCCACACAACTGTGTCTTCTCTCCTGTAAAAACCCAGGTTCCTAGACTCCTAATCCATATTTGAACAATGATTAGTGAAAGGCCAACTCTTTTCAGTCTTACACAGTTATTAAACTAGGGTGTGCGTGTGACTGTGAAGTCTTGAACGACAGGCTAGATATGAACTTTCAGAAGTTACCCTTGTCACCACTGCCAAGGTTAGCCTAGCCATCTCTACCCAGTTTCCTCTCTGTTTGATATTGGATTCACATTGGTTACCGATATTTACACGGGTTGCACTTGGATTGGTTGCAGTAAAGCACATCGAAGCCAACAAGGAAGAAAGCTGAAGAAGCAGAGAATTCCTAAGGAAAGAAATGATATAGATGAAAATGACTACAACATTTGATATTTATTTTAAAATTACAGTTTTTAAACGGGCTTAACAAATGAGAATGTTGTTTAGGTAAATACAGGTTATGCTGGTAGTAGGAGATCAGGAAAAAATACAAATTAAAAAGTTAAAAAATAAGTATAGGTTACTCTATTAATCCCATTTCTTTATCCCAGCCCTTGCCCTACTACAATTTATTTTACAAATTCTCTTATCTCCAAGACTTGGTTCTATCAGAATTTATAAGAGAAATAGATTCTTTGCCTTCTATGAAGGCAGAATTCTAACAGAGTAAGAACAGCCGTGACGAGCAAATGAGAAGCCATTGTACCAAATAATGCCTAGAAACTAGCAAGGGAAACAGTTGAAACTGATAGATATGATGGTCATAGATTCAGGACCTACCCCAACTTCCACTCGCAAAGGCCCAAGAACACTTACCAGATAAGGGAAATAGTGCGGCACTGCATCAAAGGATGAAAGGCGGGAAGAGAGGGGTGGTTTTCACTTTCTTGTATAACTTATTTACTTTCAAAGCCTACAAAGAGCGCAGCAGTAATGCAAGGAACGCACAGATACCTGTTACTCAAAAAAAGAAAAAAGGTGATGATCCATCACCTAGTTAGCTTAGTCTACTGCCTAAGGGCTAATTCCCAGAACCTTAAGTCGTCATTTTAGCTCCCCCTACTCTGGTTTCTTTTTCTCCTTTTTCCCTGAATCCTCCTTTTCCTTAGCAGTCCCTGAGCAGTTTCCAAGAGACTATATCTAATGGAACGCCACCCCACCCAGAATCAGGACTATTGAGGGAATCTCCTTCCTCCTATTTCTTACCTATAATGATGAAGGTGATTGTGCAGATAAGGTGCATTTCCAGGTATCATGAAAGAAATGAGGAAAGGCCAGGAGTATGAAGCTTAGGGAGAGAAGAAGGGTGCTGATCATGAAAATTCAACCAAATATGAAGTAGTCTGAATTCACGAAGGAGAGAGAAGAAAGGCTAACAGCTCTCTAGGGCCTCCTATCTGAGTCTGAGTGCCCAGACAGCTAAAAGATGCAGTTCAGGGACTTTAAAACAGGAATAAATGGCAGCTCAGGGGAAGTGCAGGGGTAGAGGGAGAAGAATGCTGCAAAAATATCTAGAATCATGAGTCTACCTGAGCTGTATTCCTAGAGGGCCCCTGGATAAGATATGCTTTGAAATGAGTTCCTATTACTGGTACGAATGTTTCCTTCAGGTAAACTAGGGCAGAAAAAGAGGCTGACAATTTCTGGAAGGGACTGGATTGGAGCTGGACCCTCTCTTTCAAGAACAGAACTTACTTGATTTTGATAGAGGAATCCAACACGTGACCTCACCACTGCAGACTGCAAAGAGAATACTAAGCAGACTTGGGAACTGCCTGGGATTTCCATATTCACCCAGGTCAAGAGGTTGAAGGCCAACCACAGAAGGGCAGAACCAGTGAGAGTGCAGATGAGGATTAGAATGCCATATAGTCTAATTATCCCAGGTTTCACACAAACAAGCACTGAGTGAAAAAAGGAAAAGACGTCAAATGAATTAAGATTTCCTCAGTCCCTTTGGGATTTCTTCCCATTCTTAAACACCCATCAAGGCCTGCCTCCTTGTCTTGACTCCTACTTAGTTTCTAGGATTCTCCCTCCTTCTTCTTATACCCCAACCAAATCCTCTTGGGGCCACAGACTGACCCTCTGTCCCTCACCAGCAAGAACTGAGATCTTTCTCTTTAATCTCAACTTTTTATGTGAATCACTTACTTGCACACAATCATACACAGCTTTGTATTGTTACTAAGCTTTTCCTGGGCATATATCTTGTCTCTCCATCTAGATTAAAAGTCTCGGCCGGGCGCGGTGGCTCAAGCCTGTAATCCCAGCACTTTGGGAGGCCGAGACGGGCGGATCACAAGGTCAGGAGATCGAGACCATCCTGGCTGACACGGTGAAACCCCGTCTCTACTAAAAAATACAAAAAACTAGCCGGGCGAGGTGGCGGGCGCCTGTAATCCCAGCTACTCGGGAGGCTGAGGCAGGAGAATGGCGTGAACCCGGGAGGCGGAGCTTGCAGTGAGCTGAGATCCGGCCACTGCACTCCAGCCTGGGCGGCAGAGCGAGACTCCGTCTCAAAAAAAAAAAAAAAAAAAAAAAAAAAAAAAAAGTCTCTAGAGGACAATTATCCTGAATTCTTCATTTCCCACCACATTTATCACAGTGCTTTCTTTACATGTAGCAGGATCTCAGTGAGTATCTGTTAACAGCAAGGAAAAATAAAAAGCCACACCACATGCCAAATACATTCCTTGGTGATGTCAAGAGAAGTAAAATTTTTTTCTGGTGCTCTGTATACTCAACATTCCCCTTCTGACTTCTCCCCTCAAATCACAGCCTTTTTTTCACTTCTACTGTTTATGTTCCCAGCTTACCTTCTCTTTTATTTCTTCTCTTAACCTTCTTTCTGTTTCTGCCTGCCAGGAGTGTTCTCCTTCAGCTTTCATCATTTGGTTATGCTCTGTTTTCGATAGCGCCTTTTTACACTGAGGCCTATCCTAGCCTTCTCCTCAAGAGTAGAACCCTGTGATTCCTTCCTCTCTCTCTATTGGCAGGAAATTTAGTGACATCATAAGTATGTGAACTCTGCCCCCCAAGCGTGAGATCCTACCTTGCTCCCCTTGTTTTTTCAAAACACCTCCCATACTCTTCAATCCAGCATGGCTCTGTTTCTCTTGGCACTTGCATGCCCCCAGAACTACAGCTTGTGCCCTTAGTTCTAACTTCTAATACTGACTGGGTAGGAATACTGTATTCCTACAAGAATGAAGGACACTTGAGAGAGAATACAGAATAATCTGGACAATATCTGGGAAGATGTAAGTGGAAACCAATTATGTGTTAAAGAACAATGGGATATACTACATCCTTTGCACTCTACCAGAATAATGTTAAGATATGTAATGCCGATGAAGGAATTAGCAAATAAGTGGGTAAATGAACATAAGCTGAAAAAGCAGACCGTTGCTAAAATCCCCCATTGAAGTTTACCAAATGTAAGCTCCAGGAAACTGGGATGATTTTTAGTGGTATTATCTCGGCCCACTGCAACCTCCACCTCCCGGGTTCAAGCGATCCTCCTGGCTTAGCCTCCTAAGTAGCTGGGACTACAGGCACACACCACCACGCCCAGCTAATTTTTTGTATTTTTAGTAGAGACAGAGTTTCACCATGTTGGCCAGGATGGTCTTGATCTCTTGACCTCCTGATCCCCCTGCCTCAGCCTTCCAAAGTGTTGGGATTACAGGCATGAGCCACCACACCCAGCTGATTTTTGTCTATTTTATTCACTTATGTGTTCTGAGCATCTAAAATACTATCTGGCACAAGACAAGTGCTATATAAATATTTGTGTAATGAATGAATGACTGATCCAGGAACAAAAGGCTCATCATCAGAAGAGAAGGTTGGCATATCTGCCAGTTTCCCCTGGTTGACTGTTTCTGTTGGATATGTATTATGCTAATATATGTATAGGATTAACTAGGATTTAGAGTGTGCAACAGCAATACATGTCTCATTAAATTTTAAAAACTAACTAGAATGAGTGTTTACAAAAATAACTTAGGACAGTGTAAAAATTTATACACCAAATAGTTTGTATTCTTAACCAAATTTTAAAACTAGCAGCACACAGGCTAGGATGAGTTATCATTGTATACATATTTGAAACTATGTTGGACACTGGCTGACGAAAGAGGGTAGCATACTAATGCCATTGGCTGGGGGAGAGAAGGGATATTTACAGCAGAAAGTCAGAAGTAATTCACCTAGGTAAAGATTGCTTCTGCCAATAATGTGCTCATGGAAACTCATCCCTGAGACTTACAAAGAACAGATATTATAAGGTAATATCTTTAAATCTCAAGGTTGGTGGGGACCCCATTGAGAAGAGTGCCTATTTTCTCCTGAGCTATGAATTGACCCAGGAAAACAAAGATGATGGGCAAATATATTTTTACTGATGTCAGAAGAGAAATAAAGGAAAACTATAAATATATTTAGCAAGCAAACTCTTCACTGCCTACAGCAGTCACCTACTCTTTCCCTTATATATGAAGTCTCAATCAATATATTAAAATCATAACTCTTCAATCCATACTCCCTTTAAAGCATATACTCTTTTAAAGTGAGAAAACTGTTCTTTGCTTAAAATGGTATATAAAAGAATCAAATAGCAAAAGCTGGAACCAGAAAACCTGTATTCAAATCATAGTTTTCCACTTACTATTTGACCAAGTCACTTCCTATAGTAAGGGATTACTGCTAAACTTGCTGAATGTGATAATAGTATGTGCCTATATAAATAAAACAAAAGAATCCTTATGTCTAAGACATACAAACTGAGAAATTTAAAGTGAAATGTTATGTCTGGATTTCACTTTAAAACACTCCCTCCACCTCACCCTCTCTCCACAAAAAATGTGATGGGGAAACAGAGAAAACAGGATTGGCAAAACTGAGTACTGGGAAGTTTGTTAACTAATTATATCGACTTTTGCGTTTAAAATTTTCCATCATAAGAAGTTTAAAAAATATAAATTTGACATCTCAGTCACCCAACGGGCTAAAAGCTAATTTCTCTTTCTCTTAAAAACGCTGCTCACCAGATTGAAAATGTCACCTGCTCTCTATTACATTCAGTTGTGCTCACTGATATGTTTCATTTTAGATGGTATAACTTTTCCAGGTCTCTCAGATACAAACTCTACAAGAGGTTGTTTTGTTTACGTATACTCATTTTATTAGTCACATAAGTGATCAAAGACTGTTGCTTGACTATGCATTATTTTAACAAAAATAATACCTACCCCTATAGAATTGCTATAAAACTATATATAGAAAACAAATGTAAAAGTATTTTTTAAAATGAGACTCCATATAAATGCTTCTTCATTATAATTATTATTGGAAATTTAAATCCTTTGCCTTATTTTTAAACATCACACCAAAATTGGATATTATGTATCACTCTATGGAGATTCCTCTTGTCTCATTCTAACTAGAATGAGTTTTTAAAATAATCACTTAGGAAAATGTAAAAATTTATACACTAAGTTTCTATTCTTACTCTAATTTTAAAACTAGCTGCACATAGGCTAGGACAAGTTATCATTGTATATATATTTGAAACTATATTTATTGCCCAGATTCAGAATATTTCAAAGTCAACTGCACTACAGCTGACCAATGATACAAATCCATTTTTGATTCAAATATTATTTTCTAAAGTTATCCAAACAGTACATTTAAGGAACTTTCCAGACATTCAATAAGAAACAAATTTCATTTCATAAGCAAAGGATGCACCAAAGTTTCCTAGGCAAGACATAGGAAAAACAAAACCTTGGAAAAATATTTTTCCCAGAGCATATACAGACAAAATGTATCAAAACAAACATAAAATGTTTAACCTGAAGAGACAATTTTGCCTTCCCAATAGACAAAATTCTAAGTGAGTAAGACAGATGACTGCCAACAGATTGAATTTCTCAGATTATGGAAATAAAATCATGTATTACTTGCATGAAGATCTCTTTCTAGGAATTGATGTTTTCCATTACTGAAACCTAGTGCCATGAATTATGGGACTCCCCTTGCTATTATTTTATGCTCAATACACAATCTATGATAGGCTTAGATGGCTAGCTTACAAGGAAGGAAATAATGAATAATAATAATAATAATATGTTATTTAATAAGTATTATTCCAGGCATTTGATATAAATCATCTCATTTATGCCTTGTAGTACTCTCTTGAGATAGAAATTTCCAGGTGTTGCTCAATAAGACAGAGGTAATGCCTCCTGGAGAAGGGTAATGGCTGCATAGGCAGTTCCCTTAGTGAAGTCACTTCTGGTTCTCTCTCATAAGCTCTGACATATGATTTTATCAACAAACTGAGTGAGGCTGTCTCACAGGAGTACATCAAACAACCACACAGATACTAAGTAGATTACAAATCCATAAATGTTCAATGTGAAATAAAATTGTCAAGGGGTTTGCAACACTAAAGTTGCGGGTCTGTACATTCTTTGCTCACAGGGAAGCGGCACTAAAAGTCAAATTGTAATAAGAATGGTATTTTGTTAATTTATAGCAAAATAAAACTGTAAAGCAGATCAAGAGTTCATTCTCTTTCTATATGTTATCCACCAACAAAGTCAAATGTAAATAAGATGAGTATAAATTCATAGCAAGAAAACACAAACAATAGAACAACAGTTCTTCAGGACAGTTAGCCTGATAAAAACAATGATTGGATACCCTTACCTAAGACATTCTCTTCTGGCAAACACTGATGACATAAACATAGCACTGAGAGGACAGGCATCCTGGGATGTATATGCAGAGTGAAGAAAGGATAAAAATTTGAAAAAGAAAAAAACAAACACACGGCTCATCCACTTGTGTAAATCATGTATAATAAATCACAGTTCTATTTCGTCTACATTGCTAGAAAAATTAAAATTTTTTATCAAGATTAAGACAAAATCAGGCCGGGCACAGTGGCTCATGCCTGTAATCCCAATACTTTGGAAGGCCAAGGCCAGTGGATCACTTGAGGCCAGGAGTTTCAGACCAGCCTGGCCAACATAGTGAAACCCGAACTCTACTAAAAATACAAAAATTAGCCGGGCATGGGTGGTGCATGCCTGTAATCCCAGGTACTCGGGAGGCTGAGGCAAGTGAATCACCTGAACCAGGAGGGGAAGGCTGTAGTAAGCCAAGATCGCAATCTGGGTGACAGCGTGACACTCCGTCTCAAAAATAATAATAATACTAAAAATTAAAAAATGTGAGAGACTATAATTATCTTAAATTTGTCAAATACTTTTCTGTATCCATTAATATGATTATATAATTTTTCTTCTTTAGCCTATTGGTGTGATATATTGATTCTGGATGTGGAATCAACCTTATATACCTGGAATAAATTCCACTCGGTCATAGTGTATAATTTTTTTTATACATTGTTGGATTCAATTTGCTAATATTTTGTTCAGAATTTTTGCATCTGTGTTATGAAAGACATTGATCTGTTGTTTTCCTTTCTTGTAACATCTGTGTCTGGTTATGGTATTAGGGCAATGTTGGCCTCCTAGAATGAATTAGGAAATATTTACTGTGCATCTATTTTCTGGAAAAGAATATAGATAATTGGTATAATTTCTTCCTTAAATGTTTGGTAGAATTCACCAGTGAATCCATCAGGGCCTGGTTTTTCTCTTTGGGCAAGATATTATTAATTCCACTTTTAAATAGATACAGGCCTGTTCTAATTGCCTAAGATATTATTAATTCCATTTTTAAATAGACATAGGCCTATTTCTCCTTGTGTGAGTTTTGGTAGATTGCATCTTTCATAGAATTAGATCATTTCATCTAGGTTATCAATTCATGAGCACAGTTGCTCATATTACTCCACTATCCCTTTAATATCCATGGAATAAATAGTGATGATCCCTCTTCCATTTCTGATATTAGTAATTTGTGTCTTCTTTTTCTCTTAGTTAACCTGGTTAGAGTTTTATCAAGTTTTTTGATCTTCTCAAAGAATCAGCTTTTGGTTTTGTTGATTTTTCTCTATTTCTTCTTTTCAATTTCATTGGCATTTGCTCCAATTTTTATTTCTTTTCTTCTGCTTACTTTGGGTTGAAACATATTCTTTTTTAGTTTTCTAACTGGAAGCTTAAATTACTGATTTTATATTTTTCTTTTCTGATATATGCATTCAGTACTATAAATTTCCCTCTAAGCACTGATTTCACTGCATCCTACAAATTTATAAGCTGTATCTTAATTTTTATTTAGTTTGAGCTATTTTGAAATTTTAATTTCTCTTAAAAATTCTTCTCTGACCTATGTGTTATTTAGAAGTGTATTGTTTATTCTGCAAGTATTTTGAAGTTTTCTAGCTTTCTTTCTGTTATTGATTTCTCATTTAATTCTATTGTGGTCTGATAGCATATTTTGTATGATTTCTAGTCTTATAATTTGTTAAATTGTGTTTTATGATCCAGAATGTGGTCTATCTTGATGAATATTTTATGTGAGCTTGAGAATGGA